CATCACCTCTTTCATCTCTACGTTCACTTGAAGGAAGTCCCGTCTTCCTTCTCTGCCCTGTCCTGCCTCTTCTGTCAACTTGTTGGTTTGGCTGTAGATCTTGGAGTTTGTGCGACAAGACATTAGACATAAATCATCATCGTTGGTGAAATGTAAATCTTCTTCTGGGGTGTTTTCATCGGTCCAGCCAGCGTATGCCCTTCTTCTCACCCTCACGGTTTGCTGTATGATCCAGTCGACCACAATCAAAAAGATCATCAGTGGTAGTAGGTGGCAGCCTTGTCTTACTCCTGTCCCTGTCTTCACTTGAAAGGCATCACACTCAGCCTTCCATTATGAATCACTTGGCATGTAGCATCACATAGCATACAGGTGTTGAATGAGATTGATAAAGGTTTGTGGCAGTAAAACCGTAGTGTTTAGGCAGCTGCCTACCAAATTACTTCTCAGTCGAAGCTGTCGGAGGCTTTTTCAAAGTCGATGAAGTTGACGTAGACGGTTGACTACCATTCTAAGCTCAATTCTATGATGATGCGTAGCGTAGCGTTGAAATTTGATCCCCACATGATTTATTCTTCCTGTATCCAGCCTGTTCCAGTCGTTATTTTGAATCCAGCGCATCTTTTAATCTCTCCAGGAGTCTGAGGTTAACAAAGGTTTCATTTCAAGGTAGCATTCATCAAATACTGATATCAGTTGGAGAACCCTTGAAAATCTAGAAGCATTGGACGGGTTTTTCGTTTTTGTTTGAGACTCCTCAGACTCTTGATGAATACTTGCCTGAAAGGAAATCCCCGTAAACCTCAAACTACATAACCGTATTGTGCTCATTAGTGGCATGCTTCGGGATTGGTATCCTGAAGTTACATTGAGAACCTGTGATCTGGGGAGTCAACTAGTCGAAAGTCACGTGGATGCAAACTGAAGACCTTGGTGTATAGTCGTGGCATGTAGTGAACTGAACCACTGAACTTGGACCCAATGGCTAAATGTGTGGAGTATCCTTTGCGACTCAAAGGTCCTGAGTTTGATCCCTGGAAGCGTCAAAAGTGCGAACTGATGAACAGTCCCATACCAAGACAAACAGCTGTTCAGTGCTCATTGGTTCTCCAACTGGTGTTAGCCCACGATGAATAATACCTTGAAACATAGATTCATAAAAAAGAGGCAAAATGAACTGTCGAGAATTACAGGCGACATCGATGACAATAAAGAAATTGGTTGAAGTCAACACTGGGATATACGACGGCTAAAAAAGTATAGATTCATGAAAATCATTGATTGAAGAGTACAAGTATGGCACCATGAGACAACATGATTCCATAACAACTAGTCAAAATACTTAATATCAGTTAAGTATTGCAACTCAGTCGGCAGTCTTTCATATATATATATATATATATATATATATATATATATATATATATATATATATATATATATATATATATATATATAATACCGACTGAGTTGCAATACTTAGTCAAGGCAATTAGATAGAATCAATGAGACCATATGAACACTGGAGATAGATAACCAGTACCTATAACGAAAAAACTCTACAGCCAACTACAAATCCGGGTAAACCTACTTTGTAGATGTAAAATAAATAAGTCAGTTTCTTAAATGAGACAGAAGGAGAAACAATTCTGTATAAAAATCACACAAAGTGAATTACATTATATATAGACAGGGAGCTAGATAAGATTTATGAATGTCTTACACTTTAGTATAAGAAAGTCATAAAAGAATTTAAAAAATAAAGCGTTGAACCTTACAACAACGCTTTGCATGGGTGTATTGATCCTATTTTATCTTCTGACGGGATCTAAAGAAACGATATGTTTGTTTATCCACTTTCCATAACTTCAACATTCCCCGGCATGATAACAGTGTTAGACTTTGTTAAAAAGTCTTTCAACAGCGTATAACTTTCAACTAAGAATTGAAACATTAGGTTGATTTACTAAAGCTTTTCAATCCGATTACAGAAAGATTTCTTTCAGCGTTAAAGTAACAGAAGGTTTCCATAAATTTGGATCTTTTAATTCTTTTATTCTAGGGGCTTGATTTCCTGCATGAAAATTAGTTGAACTATTTACAGAAAGTAGATGATGGATTCTGGTAGGTTAGGGATGTTGGAAGGATATAAGATTTTTGTTATATGAGCTGTTTCTGGGGAAAAGACAATGTTGAAGAACTGGTTTGTACTGACATGTTACTTAGAACTAAAGTTTTAAGCTTTAATACTTCTTCTCTTATCTATGCTTAGTAGATATTTTTAAAATCAAACAGTAACATTTCCTTTGAAACATAAAAGAAATACCTTAGCTGAAACGTTTTCTTCTGCAATAACATTCTTTAAGTGTTGCACAATCGCATTTAGAGATAATGTCCACGTACGACGCTGGAAAAATGTAAGTAGGGTGTATAGTAAAATACTTTTTTTTAGTAATTTATGGTCATGAACTAAGGTTATGTCAGCTGTATCAATATGGATGAGTAGCGTTGGTAAAGTGAGTTGAAATCAAGAAACGAATACAAACAGGCCTAATTAGGCCTAATGATTAGAAATTTCCTGCGTTACGAAGTGATAATAAACACTGAATAGGAAAATCTGCTACTAGGTATAACAAAACTCATTTCGATCTTTGCATTCTAGAGCTTCAGTAATGCATAGTGAATCATTTCACACATTTCATATTAGATTTGTTCATTTGATATAGCACAGAGTGATACAATATTATTTGAGGATAAATTAGTGCTCATAATCATATGGAAGTAATCACACAACTAGTGACATCTCATTTTTATAGTTGCATCACCTAGAGTGGTGGTAAATTTTTCCACATCCCTAGTATAGATATTGTGTCATTGTGATTACATGTTGTGAGTCGATTTGGTGAACAAAGATTCTACAATCAGTCTCTCTCTTTCTGAAGCTCACTATATTCTACCTAAGTATGATTATTGCATCCCTTCATATTGTGTGGTTGTGCGTTAACGCGTGTATTGCAATACCCAAGTTTTTTCTCTTGATTACTGATCTTATTGAAGTTTATCATTGTATACTCGGTCAAATTCATATCCTCCAATAATATATGTGATAGTGATCAGTTAGTTTGACCTGTGTATTTGACCTATACGGTATTTTATAGATCAAATTGTTTTGTCTAACTGCATCAGTAGGATTCTAAAGCTAAGTGAGTTTGTAGGTTTGAATTCCATGTAAAGTCTCTAGTGTTCTTTTCTTATATAACAACACAATAGAAACCTCACTGAATCTTCGTTCATCAAATCAACATCCAACAGCTATATTGGAGATGTGGAGAGGAATAGATTAACTTGCCTCAAGTTAGTCTTAAATTACCCAGTCGGATCTGCTGAAGTTCAGAAGGCTGTGATTAATCTTAAGTAAGCAACGGCATCAGACTTAGATGGACTAGTGTCAGAGGCATTTAAAGACAATGGAAAAATTTATTCGTTGCATTAACTAAAGGGTTGTTTTAAGTTTGGGAATTAGATATGGATCCATTTGACTGGTCTCAATCAGTGATTGTACTAGTCTTCAAAAAAGGAGAGAAATCCACCTATGATAACCACAGAAAAATCACACATAAGGTTATTATGTCCAATAGATTAAGTTCTGGGATCATTAGACGTCCAATTGAGAATTGAAAGTAGTGAATTTCAGATAACCGTTCCGGTTCCAGATTTGGTCTTGAGTCTGTCAAACAGATGTTCACTCTTCACGAGCACCACTCACTGGGAGGCAGGTATACCCAGATAACGAGTTCTTAAATGGACAAAACGCATGTCCTGGATTCCAAGACTAGCCACTATTGATCGTTAGTATCAAATACACGTTTATCTTAGATCCTAGATTATTTCATGTTGCTCTGAAGACATTTAAATGATATCTAGTGAAATTAAACTATAAGATGACCTACGGTGAAGACAAATATTTATCAGTAGACAGGAAAACCAATAACTGGTCTATAGTTTCTTTGACTCTGACATGATTTTACAGTATAGGCTAGATAACTGAAAATATCCTATACAACTACTGAACACAGAATAAACATAAAAGATAAACAAATCAATGTTAAAATTCACTTGATAGTTGAGGGCTTAGATATGCTCAGTAATGTAGAATATTCTAAGAGACTCAATAAAGATAATCAATCATAAATTGTTATTCCAATTAGATCAAAGAAGAAGCTAAGTGAATTCGGAAAATTATCCACAATCACTGATGATAAGAGAAATCATTATTGTGATTAAAAAAAAGGGATTAACAGTTCTTTGTTTATTCCTATCCAACTGACACTTGTCCATGTGTAGACATTAGATCTGCTATTGACGTAATCTAAAAGATACGAAACCGACCGCTAAAACCAATAATAATTCATCTTCTGAAAACTATTCAAGTTATTCTAATAAAAGCTATGAAACTTAAACTTTGTATGCAAAACCTTCTTAAACATTGATTTTGCTCTTTTGTAGCCATATGTGAAGATAGAATTCGTGTAATTCAGTTACATTATGATTCAACTAACTTGTACATCTTCTGAACTAATTTGACGATGTTTTCAACCTTTGATTTACATCTTTAGTTTTCATCTTTCCACTGACCTAATATTGTATATTTACTGATTGCTTATTATAGTGTTGTTTTAAATTTCAGTGGAGTTGTAAGCGATAACCCCCTTTTAAACCTTTAGTCTTGTAATTATTTTCAATTCCATAATTAGTTAAATATGCAGACAAGAGTCAGTATTCAAGTGTATGTAATCATTTGATTTTTTTAAAAATGCTTCTTCGTGTTAAATATATTGGATGGTAATATCTCATGAGACTTCAACAGAGACATATGTTTACTCAAATTCCTGTAAGATGATGTGAGCATGAGGTTAAAACAATTTTAATATTAGGGATAACATGAATCATAAATAAGGTTTTGAATATTGAAAAAAAAAAATCCAACGGTGTTGACTTACCATTTGGCGCATCCACATGAACAAAAGCTGAATCATCTTCAACCTCCAGAACTGAATAAAACTGTTCAATGGATATTGAACAAGAGAAAGAAATTTTTTAGTAAAAGTCAATTAAAGTGTGTGACACAATGAACACATTTTGTGAGTAAAGAAAATAATTTTAAAAAAAGCAGCTTTTTCATGATACACTCAAAGTTTTGTTCTTCCCATTATTTTGAATAACAACTAGAAATCATGTAAATGAGAGATCAACTACAGCTTCATTTACTAGACTATAAATGACATCTATTGTTCAAACCTGACCCACTGAAGTCAAGTTCATTGTGAAAGCCTAAGAAATAACAGGTTAAAATCTCTAAATGAAAATTGAATTGAAAACGATGATGCAGCAGCAACCCATCCAACTTGCGTGTTAGTGATCCCAAGGTTTGTATCAAACAAAACCTTAAGGTAATTGCTTAAAGCCAGTAGAAAACTTCGGTTTAAAAGTGTACCAGACTGTTGTAAACACTCAACAGAAAGACATTGTCGAAGAACTAAAAAAGCAGACACAATGTTCTCTGAAATCGAATGATAGACACAGATTGGCTACAATCTTGAAACTGATTATTTTAAAGAAATCCTCCAATCGAATTCTTCTCAAATATGGTTATGAATGCATTGGTTGAGAAATTAAATTTTTCCCCTAACCTTAGTTGCGTTAAACATGCTGCCTAAACATTTTATTTCGCAAAACATATAGAAGTTGAGAACAGCAACATTTCGATAAAATTGTCTGATCCCTGATAATAGATGACAATGAAGCAGAACATTTAACATGAAATTGCAAAAAGTAACTATTAAGCTATAGGTGAGAATTTTTAAAGTACACATTATCAATAGTATAACACGAACATCGTCTTTCAATGTCATTGAAATTGACTCAAAAATGATTACCATTGGTTAAGTTTTTTTATGGGAAGCTCAGTGATGATTTTGAAGTGAAGACAGGAGTGAAACAAGGTTGCCTACTATTACCCACGATACTCCTGATTGTGGTCGACTGGATCATGCAACAAACTGTGAGGAGCGAGAAGAGGGGGATACGCTGGCTGGACAGCAAAAAAGAACCTAGAAGATTTGGAATTCGCTGATGACCTGTGTCTGATGTCACACAAACTTGAAGATCTACAGGCGAAAACTAACAAGTTGACAGAACAGGTAGGGCAGCGAAGATGGGACTTCAAGTGAATATAAAAGAGGATAGAGGTGATCAAGATACCCAACCAACAACACCACCAACAACAACAAACTCCAATCACCATCACCATCAATGGGAGAAACTTAGAGGAAGTAGCCTCCTTCACCTATCTAGGCAGAGTAGCACTGTTTCAACTGCAGGCGGTGGCACACACGAGGATGTCAAAACCAGCCAGGATAGGAAAAGCAAGACAGGCATTCATTAGCCTGAAACCAGTGTGGAGATCTTCTGCATTCAGCATGTGGAACAAGATGCGGATTTTCAACACCAACGTCAATTCAGTGCTTCTGTATAGTTCAGAGACTTGGTGCATCACGAAAAGCATTTCCAATAAACTACAGACATTCACCAACAACTGCCGCCTACGCTGGCTCGATACTGACACTGAAGCTCAGATGGCCACGATAATAAGAATAAGCAACAAGGAACTCTGGCCGGTAACGAACCAACTAAGAACCTATCACCCAACAAATATGCTCTGGAAGGAAGTGGAGATGGATTGGGCATACACTGAGAAGGCCGACTGGGAACATCATGCGTCAAGCCCTCGAGTGGGACTCCGATGGGAAGCGACGAGTTGAGCGTCCGAGGTGACATGGAGATGTTGTGAGGGGGAAATGAGAGCTTGTAGGCAGTCGTGCCGAGAGGTTCAAAAGATTGCAGAGAACAGAGAACATTGGAGACGTGCTACTGAAGCCTTATGTACCATTGGGAACCCAAGGAACAAATAATAATAAAGTGAGTTTCTCGAAGCAATCGGTGATATATCATTTAACGTGTAGGTGAAAATCGATGCTGGTATTGAAAGTGGGTAAAATTCAACACCTTAGCTTTATTTACCAATCACTAGAATTATTTGTAATTTACTAACGAAAACTTCCAGAGAGGAATATGAATAATAATAATAATAATAATAATAGTTAGGTTTTTAGGCAGAAGTTATGTGTATTTGGGGTGAAGCATAAGGGAGATCTAATGGATAATAATTATGTTCGTTTTACTTTTGTTTTCCTGTCAATTTGTTTAATGCTACAACCTCCCTTACTGAAATGCACTCTTTATTAAATGGTAGGGGATTATTATTACCATTATTCAAATTGATACTTCGACAGACTTTAGTTATTTGAACAAAGTAATAACAACAAGGTTAGCAAAGTGAAGTGTGAACATTTTATTTTCTCACTTTATTGGAATCAGTCTGATTTCACCATACAACACTATATGTCCACTAAAGTAAAGTAGGTCGGTATCTTGCTGATCAGTCAATCAATCAATATCAACATAGGGCCACGCATTACTGAATAACGGTCTGAGTTGCCAGAGCTCAGTACAGTACATCAATTAGAAATCTTTAGCCGTTCTTATAAATTGGAAAATTTATGCTAAAATGAGTGGAACAAGAGCTTTTACTAGGTTTCTGAGAACATTCCTAAAAATTTATAACTGAAAGAAACCAACGCAGTCGGAAGTCAATTTTTGCCTACTGGATAAAGGATAAGAAGTTGTCGTCTAGAAATGCTTTCACGTAATAATCAGCACAGAAAAGATCATATTGTATATGTAATTGCAGAGACTTTTGCTATCAATAAATTCAATGTAAACTTTGTATACAGAAAAAAAAAGTAATTAACCTCGTTGTCCTGGTAACCAAACTTCTTTCTTACAGATTCACTGATACTAACTTTTTCAGTCAGCATTTTCGTAGTTGTTTATCTGCTTACATAATCTCTGGCTAATCATTATCTATCGATCTTTTCAGAATTCTCCCAATTTTGACTGTTGCTTGGGACTCGTTCACATTTTAAACCTCTCTCGCTCTAATTGTTATCATTATTTATATATTTTATTTGTTATAACCGACTAAAATTAGGAAATCAGGAATCTCAGACAAGTATTATCGTGCTCATTGTTTTTTTTTTAAAAAAAAGATATTTCACTGGAGACTTGGTAGAATCGACCCTGACCTACCCGTACAGTTTATATATCCAGAACAACTAATTGTTTAAGATAATCAATCACTGAGCATAAATCCGTTTCCATCAAATGAGTAGTGTCATTCTAGTGAATTATGCTACGTTGTGAACATATAACTCAGCTGTATATGTGCTTGACTCAGAACAAAATCAACAGCTACAATTAAGGCAGTCAGCATCATTGTTTATTGTATGGAGAAGAGGTAAGAAAGACAGCTAGGTGAAAGGTTGTAATTATCCTGTCTTGCATTCAGTTTATTTGGAAACCTATAGGTGTAGAAAAAGATATCGCCTAGTTCAGGGCTATTCAGATGAGTGACTTTAAAGGCCACCCTAGCAATAACCGAATTAAACAACTGAATTTCTAGATCTTATGAAAAGATACCTTTCCTGCCAAAATCATCCATTCAGACTGTGAGGTGATCAGAAATTAGTAATCATGTGACGATGTCAGAGTTGTCTATCCAAGTTACTAGTTCAAACGTAGGATTACCAATCGTACCAGTTTATTTACTTTCATAACAGTTTTCAACTATGGTAAAGCATACTCGCATTATAGTTCTCTTATTAACTACCACATCACACAGTGAAACAGTATTATTTATTCGATAACGTTTCGAGCAAAATTTATCACTCAAAATCATATCAAGATGATTACACAACCAAATTAGTAAGTTGAGTAATCAAATTGATATGAATATGAAGAGTTTTCAACTTCACTACTGAATGTCGATAAATTAATATATTTTTCAAGTTGTTATTCATCGTAGGCTGACATCAGTTGAAGGAACAAAAGAAACCTGGGAGCACTGGACAGCTGTTTCGTCCTAGCATGGGACTCCTCAGCAGTGCGCACCCACGACCTCACACCAGTAGGGATCGAACCCGCGACCTTCAGGTTCCGCGGCCAGCGCGTTACCATTGGGCCACTGGGTCACAATCCAATGCTCCATATTTCCAACTTCTGTTAACTCACGATATATTTTTGATATATATTTTTGAGATGAGTGGGGATTTTTTTAATTTAAAAGTAGTATTCATCATGGACTGACATCAGTTGGGGAACCATTGAAACCGACTCAGTGGCTGAGTGGTTAACGCGTTCGCCGTGAAACCTGAAGGTCCTGAGTCTGATCCCTAGCCAGGTCGTGGGTGCGTGCTACTGAGGAGCCCCGTACTAGGACGAAACAGCTGTCCAGTGCTCCCTAGTTTTCAATGGTTCTCAAACTGATGTTAATCCATGATGAATACTACTTCTAAGATAAATTAATAACTCAAGTATCTACTGTAACTTTAAACTATCAGCAAAAGCAGTAGCAAAGTTGTAACCTTAAATGTTCACTATTCATTATGCGGATCATTTTACGTTTTCCTTGTTTAAATCAACTGAAGGAACAAAATTTATCTAGTGCATTAGTAATTGGAACATAATGTTATTAATGATAAACTGATAAAGCGATTGTCTGATACACCTTGTTTTTTAGCGGTTATTAGATTGATGTTTCATACTCATGGAAAAGTTTATTTTTAAAGTGACTACATTCTTGAAGTTACACAAAAATTTTTTGACAAGGTGAAAATTGTTGGTAGATAAGAAACGCAAATATCGAGTGTCCACTTGATAGATAGATGTAAAGAAGGTGAAGAATGAGACAAGGGTCATAGTGAAGGTAATAATAATAAACTACTTAATTATAATGAAATCGAAAAAATGAAAGTGTTAAGACCATGGTAAGATGAGAGATTGAACATACTTCATTTGCACGCAGAGATCAAGCTTGAATTGATGAATTACCAATGCCTCCACTGTGCACAACTCTCGAAGGCGTACTCCTTTTGAACTATTCC